ACCAAACCACCTTGACAAGAAAAGCCAAGGTTAACAATCGAAACTAGAAAATTACCCCTAGTCATTATCTTTTTCCTCCCTTAACAACCTTTAACTATTCAGACTCTGTGCCCAAAGTCCTAGGCATGAAACCTCCTGTCAATATACAAAATACCATGCTATAGAAAACAAGTCTAACTACTCAATTAAGAAAACATAGCCGACCTTGGCGCTAAGCAATAACTAATGAACTTATTTTCTCCTTTCAAAAGTGGGAGGAGAATAAAAGAAGATGCATTGATTAGGTTGCAGAAATTCGACATCCCGTTATAGCAAGAGTCAGACCGCTATAGCTGCGCTGCCATAACGGGAAGCCTTCCGTTATGATGGGCTAACATCAGCGTGGCCCAAAATTGTCACGACCCAGACCGTCGTGAGTGACACCCACACTAACCCTCCGATGGGAGAACCATTACTACAATCTCAACTACACAACTTAACGAAAACTAGAACATTTAAAGATACGAAAGCAGGTTTAAATGTCTAAAGAAAATTGGAGTTTCCATAAACTCCGAAAGTTAATAAAACCTTTACCAAAACATTTGCGGAAAACAACACCCAGAACCTGAAAGTCAATGTACCAAAACACCTAAAGTGCAACAAGTCTAAGAAAAAGGGTAGAACCCCAACCAAACATAGGAAGTATCTAAACAATAGTCTGAGTCCGAAGAGAATGAACTAAACGAATTGAAGGACTCCATGACAGCCTGAAAGAACTGACTCACCCTTGAAATCCGATCTCGATCATTGATTTCCTAGCTGAAGTATATCAGTAGCCACCTAAAGATGTCCTGTACTCAACAAAGAACGAGCAAGTGCAGTATCAGTACACAACCACAATATACTGGTAGGATCACGCGGCTATTCCAGTAAGTGAAACATATATGGGCAGTCACAATATAGTAAACATGACATGCACATAATACATACACAATTATCATTTCAAGAACAATGTACAAATCCACATTCTCAATAACAAGTAAATATGACAATTCAATAGTCCTCTCATGGAACCCATACACAATCTGTTAGTGTACCAGAACGTGGCACCTGATCTCAATTAGTGTGCCAGAACATGACACCCGATTCAATATATGTGTCGGAACGTGACACTTTATCCAATATATGTGTCGGAACGTGACACTCGATCCAATGAACACAACCACAATCACATTCACACTCATAATGTACATACTCATAATCATACAATCAAGTGTTGAATCATGACATACATTTGATCATTCATACTCATTTCATTAGATTTGATCAATAATGCTACATTCATATACATACATGCATTACAATGAAGCAATTACCAACATACATCACAAGTACATGAAATTAAATCATCACCTACCTCGAAACCAAGCTTGAATCCCCCTAAGGCACTTGAATCTTCCCTTTCCGGATTCTTTCCGCTTGTTCGTGGTCTAAAAACAATAATTTAATGCAAGGATCAATTAATTAAGGTCTAATTATCCGGATTATGATCCTAAGGTGCAACTAGGGCTTTCTCCCACCATCAAATTCAGTCCAAAAACCCTCCCCCAATAATAATTACTCAAGAATCTAAATTCTACGGATCGAAAAACAGATTAGGGGAGTAAAATCCTTACCTTTAGCACCAAAAGTCGGGGAAAGCTGTCAAGAAATCGCTCTGGGTCGTATCCTAGCTCTTGAGAACGTAACATTTTTGGGGGGTTTTCCCATTAAGTCGCGATTGTGCCGCTACAACGTCCCCGCTCTGGCAGGATTAATCCCGCCCTGACAGCTTGCACGAAGATAGAACCTCGAAATTTGAGTTCCAAGCTCCCATTTCACAACACACTTTCAAATCAGGACGTTCTAAAATTACCCTTTCACGCCAAGATCAGTTTTGGGAATTCTACTCGCCCGAATTTGATTCCGTAAAGCCGTACATGTTCCTTAACGTCTTGGCTATCCACTCATGTGATCAAATTCATAATTAGATCCCCCATTCATTACCAGATTTTCCTAGACCTCACCTGACTCAGATTTCGTCCAAATCTGGACTAGGCTACAATTTTCCAAGTCACTACTCAAAAGTTTTCTGGCCTAAATTATTTTCCCATTGACTTTTCCATAATGACGGAAACAGGTCGTTACAAAAATTCAATTTGGGACAAAAACGTTATGTGCTCAAATTTGAGAATTCTTGCACCGCACTTCCGGACCTTTATGATTGCGCGAGACACCTTTTAGTAACGACGGATCAAGTTATTACATATCGTCATTTTTATTCACATATATTACTTGCCTTTATTTTTTCAAATAAGTATTTGGCATGACGTGCTTCAAATATATTCTGCGACACATTTAAAATTTGATATGTTAAAGTGTGTAAAGTTCAAACTCATAATACAAAATTAAGAGACCTAATATGTTGGAGACAAAAATACGAATAACAAGATATCTTTAATAAAAATCATTGCAAATTACATGTTGTACGTACCATTATTGAAATAAAATAACAACATAAAAAAAAAATTAAAGCACACATAATAATATGAATTTAACGTTTCATTTTATTGCATAGGGTTTCGATAAAAGATATTATCTGAAGATGATATTTATGAAACACAAATATTAGCTATCTGCATCCTTAGATGGGGATTGTACGGAGGACGAAGCTCCACTTTCAAGCCGCTTCAATTGGACATTTAAGAAACCCTCGGCGGTATATAAAATAATAGGCAAACTTGGTTATGTACTCTGCATTGCATTGGTCCATGGACTCCCACCAACCTCTATTTCTAGACTAGTTCATTTGATCTATATATATTTGTATGAATATGATGAGTTGTATACAATGTTATTGTAGTTGTATTAAATTTTACAAAAACTAAAACTTTATACAAAATTGATGACATAGTGAGAACATTTGAAGCGTAATTTTTTACTCATAAACCTAACATAAAATTTATACAGTTATACACATATTTCAAATAGCCTTTATACACGATATTGTGAGCAAAATTCTAAATTTTGAGCGACATTTAAAGTGTGATTGAGTATATATTTGTAAAAAACTCTTCCTAAGTTTGATAAACATTGGTAAATTACTCTTATTTTTGTATATATATGCTTTTTTTCCCCGTAAAATAATTTCGCAGAAGCTCTTTTTGAAAAATGTTTTTTTTGGTCTTCCAAATCAAAGTCCAATTCAGACGTAAATATGACTGCATCTTTCCAAATACATAAAGTGATGGCCCTTTAAAATGAGTATTTTGTCCGTAAAAAAATTTAATTAACAACCTTTTAAATGAGTATTGTCGAGGACCCGTCAATTTATGTTTTTCTTGAATGCATTTTCATCCTACTGTTGCTTCACTTTGAGTAATTCTAACTTGGCAAATTGAGTTGTGACCCGTAGTTCAATCCATCCTAACTCAACCCATTTTGACACGCGTAAGTTGACAGATAACTTAAGCAATACAAAGAAAAGCAAATGACTCAAGTTATAAACTAAATGGATAATTTTACATGACTCTTGTTCTACACCTTGATGCTCCATGGTGGCGTGTAATTTGTGATGTAAAGGTAGAGGCTCATACATTTGATCGACGCTAGGGAGATAATTTGTATCTTACAGAAAATAGAAGCTTCAAGCAGCCATAAGAGGGTAATTGAGAGGCTTCAAGGCAAACAGCCTTGTATCTTGATCTTGGTACTTTATGAAGCAAAGACGGAACAACTCCAGAACTTAAAGAACATAACTATTGTAGTTCCAGGAAGCCTCTGGGTTGACGAATAATTTGAAGAAGAGTGAAATCATCCTTAGTAGGTGGAGTGGATGAAACAACAGAATATTCTATAAAGTTTCTGTATAAAAATCAATCACTAGATCAAAACAGTACCACTATATCATGTATAAAAATGTAAGGGATTTCGCTACAAGAGACTTTGAAGGTATTCTACGTGGCTCTACAAGGAAAATAGCTATAGATGTTTGGGATAGAAGACCAAGCATTCATCGAAGAAAATACAGAATGTATATAGAGGGATGGAGGACAAATCAGATACAAATGCCACGCTGCTCCCTCATGAAAGAGTATTATTAAAGATTGGAATGATGTCAAGTATAAGCCAGGAGATGGTATGAGACTCCATTTTAGGAAACAAAGATGGTGTCCAAACATTCCATTATGTGAAAGTCTTTCAACTTGTTTACAATATATCAAGGCGGCAGATAGCTATAGTAAATCAACTTGGTGATCAACAGGGACGATATTATGGGATCTAAAACTGGAAGAAACTAGCAAGATTAGAAATATGAGGATTTAACAGAGAGATCAAATTCAGTTACAGGCAAAGGATTAATTTTACGGGCAGGGTTAGGTGGATACACGAAAAGCAAGACAATGACAATGTCAGATGAGGAGAAAAAGGAGTTTCATCATTCAACCCGAGAACACCAAGAAGTATCTTAATTTCTATGGTCCGTGCTGGTGCTTCATGTGTAAGAAAGAGGGTGAGGATGTCAACCACTTGTACTTCATTGTCCTATTGGGCACAACCTTTTGTGCATGATCAGGGAAATATTTAAAGTTCAATGGATAATGTCAGGGATGATAAAGGAATCGGTACTATGATGGAAATTTAAAAGAAAAAACTGAAGGAGAGAATGATGACAACATGAAGGCTAAGGAAGCGGAGGGTTCTTGATGGAAGATTAAGCCATTAAGTCTCTAGCCTCAGGGATGACGCAGGCACTTGTTGTGCTAAATGGAGTTAGTTGTGTATAAGTGAAGGTTGCCGAGTAAGAATTTCTAGGACATCTTTATGATTTCTACAAGAAACCTGATTATTAGTCTCCTAGTAAATAAATTGAGAAGGGTACCAAAAGGGTCTACTTCAGATCGAGAAGCATCTATAGATTACAGGATAATTAAGAATACAGAAATACTATGTTTGATTTTATTAAAGAAAAATAGAAAGACTAAGAAAGAGCTGAAGTACTAGTTTAGATTTCATGAAACTGGAAAGAAATGTTTGATACAAGAGATCGATTTTACTCTAAGTAAACCTGGGATACCATTTACGTAATCGAAAACTGTCATTAAACCACCAGGACCTGCCACGAAATGTATAAAAAAGCAATGGGGATAACATTGCTTCCTAAGAAAAGTACCTACTATCTACTGTACAGCCAAGATGCCACAATCTCAGAAGCTACATCTTTTTCAAAAAGCTTATCATCAAAAATTTCCTCCACCACGGTAAATCTCAAGAGCTAGATTATCACTTCCAACAAGGGCAACACCACTTGCTTGACCACATTCGAGAATAGTGTCTACCTAAGTCATTTAATTAGAGTGACAATTCCTCACGTTTAATGAACATGATAACATGAAATGTATTACTTCTTTAGGTAAAATAACAGAAAACTTATACCTTGATCATTCACATGCATCAGCTAAATCTTCTTCTTGTTTCAGGAAGAATTTCGCTATCTAAATCTGAAAGCCTTGAGAAACCACTTCTCCTCCTGGAATATGGAGATAGAATGACAGGCAGGTTTGCAGTATCAGTTGTCAGATTTTCCAACTGAAGCGCCGCATCAGAAACTTCATTTGATTGAGAAGAGGAAGGAAGAGATACAACAGAGATTGCATCTGCAATTGAATCCAGAGTCTGATGCTCTGATTGTATGATAGCAGCGTCTCTTCTGAGAGAATTACCTTCATCAGCTACAACATGACCAATTGGTGAAACTTGCAAATTGCTTCTTTCATGAATGCGATCTGTAATTGACGCTGTAATGTCCTCAAACAGCCTCTGTACATTTTCTAATTCCGATGAAAGAGAAGCCGCACCCTCTGATAATACCCTCGAAAACACTCGGGAGCGTGGTCGCTGGCTGCCAGTGGCCTCAGTATTTTGCAACTCCTGAGAGCCGTTCAGAGAAGTTGAACTAACGCCACCAGTGTCCAGTTGCTGTGGGTGATCGCCCAATCCAATACTATTCCTAATTCGCCTAAGTGCTTCTGCAACTGGGATATGAGACAATCCCCGAGTGACACGCTGCTGTCTAACACTCTCGACTCTATTTGCTTTTGGCCTTGGTGGTAATTCGAAAGCAGAGTGGACTTGTTTGGAGCAGTAACTGTGGGCATTGCCATAAATTGGAGTAATATTTGCATCTGTGACCTCTCCCTTGCACTCAGGACACTCTTTTGTAGTTGAATCAACATAAGGTAAGTTATAAAAGCATGACCAGCAATATAAATGGCCACAACAAGTCAAAATAGGTTCTTTTGCAATATCAAAACATATATTACAGTCAAAGAAACTTGGACCATTCTTATCAACTTTCTTAACCACTACATCCATCTCCAATGCCTTTGCTACTAAATGGGATCTATCTCTTTTGCATCCTTTTCCCTTGCCTAGACAATTGTGATGTTGAACAGAATTATGACCCGTATCAGCTGCAGAATTAGGAGCCTCATTAGCAGCAGAATTAGGAGGCTCATTAGCAGAATTATGAGCCGTATCAGGAGCAGAATTATGAACCTGACGCCACCTAGCTGCAACAGCCTCAAGGTGAAGAATTCTTTGTTCTATCCTAGTATTGGACAAAGACCCTAATCCTAAAGCTGACGACTCCATAGGTTCGTGGTTCAAATCAAGATCCATTACTATAGCATTGATCAAATTATCTTCCATCAAGGACACAACTAGTATATGCTGAAATAGAGGCCTTTCAAGTCTGTTTCAGAAAGGGGAAAAAACAAACACATAAGTACATCTAAAGAGAAGATAGAAAAAAAAAAAAAACCTGCATAAATGAGATGATTGGAGGTATCTATACACTGATTTAGCATGAGTTGTACAATCGGCTTTGCTTGAAGAGAGTTGTCGAGAGAGAAGAAAGATTGGGCAGCACGGCGGGAGCGGGAGCGGGAGCGGGGGCGGAGACAAGAAGCAGGGCCGCCGGCTCTCTGCTTCCCTTACTAATATATAAGTGTCAATTAAGTCATGGTCAACATGCCTACCTGGCATATTTTTTATGATTTTTTTGTTTTCATTAATTTCTTTTATTATTTAGAGTCTGTTTGAATTAACTTAACAAGAAAGTAGCTTTTCCGTCAAAAAATAAAAAGTAGGGGAGACCTAATTTAAATTTTTTTATTTATTTTAAGTCATTTTTTACCTTGCCAAACACTTCCTAACTTATTTTAACTCATCTTTGACTTATTTTAAGTTATATTTTATATTTGTCAAACACTTTCGAAAGTCAAAACTGACTTAAAAGTAGGTTTGACCAACTGTTAAGTCAATCCAAACACCCTCTTAGTCATTTACAAATATATAAGTGCCAATAACCAAGCAGGTCAGGGTCAACATGACTGTCTGGCACTTCAAAGATATTTTTATAATTTTTTTGTTTTTAATTTATTTGTCTTATTTTTTAGTCTTTTATATATTTTTAAATTTGTGTAAAAATAATTCAAATCGTATTATTTGAAAACTATGTAAAAGGTATTGTAAATCTCAATAACTAAGAACTTGAATTTTTTAAAATCATTTAAAAAAAATGGCTCTTGAAATTCTATGTGTGCTACACAAATTGAAACAAATGAAATCATATATATTGTCTGAAATTTACGTAAAAAATATTATAAATCACAATAATTGAGAGGTTAAAATATTTAAAAGATATAGAAAGTCCGATTTGACTCTCGAATCAGTGCCGCATAAATAGGGATATACGAGTAACGCATATTGTTTAAAAATGACGTAAAAGTAATATATATTACAATAATAAAAATAAATAAAAAACTTATAGAAAATTAAGTTGATTCTCAATTGAAACAAATGAAATCATATATATTGTCTGAAATTTACGTAAAAAATAATATAAATCACAATAATTGAGATGTTAACATATTCAAAAGATATAGAAAGTCTGATTTGACCCTCGAATCAGTGCCGCATAAATAGGGATATACGAGTAACATATATTTTTTTTAAATGACGTAAAAGTAATATATATCACAATAATTAAAAAAATTTAAAAACTTATAAAAAATTAAGTTGATTCTCAAAATTTTATTAGTGTCACATTAATTGAGAAAAGGGGAGTAACATATATTATTTAAAAACAAAGTAAAAAATACTAGAAAATCACATACCCCTAATCCACCCCCTATCTACCCTCTCAATGAATTTTTTTTTCATAATATATAATTTTAGTGATATATATATATATATATAAACTAGATATCTGAGCCCGTGCTAGCACGGGCCCAATATGTATCATTTTTTGTTGCAATTTATGTGACAGACAAAATTAAAGAGTTAATCAAACTTTAATATTAATTTAAAATAGTTTTAATTTTTAATTATTGTTAACTATGGTAAAAAATTTTTTATGTCTTTTAACATTCTAAATTGCTAATTATTGTTGTATGATTTGTAATATCTTTTACGCAATTATCAAATAATAAAAGTTATTTCTTCTTTCTCAATTTATGTGGTACTAATAAAATTTTGAGATTCAATCAATTTTTTTTGTCTTTAAAATATTCTATTGTTAATTACTGTAAATTATTGTACTTTCTAAGTAATTTTCAAATAATATATATTATTTCATTTGTCCAATTTATGTGTCACCGATAAAATTTGAAGAGTTAATCAAATCTTTTACATATTTTATATATCTTTTGAATATTTAAGTAAATAATTATTGTGATTTATAATATTTTATACAATTATTTCAAAATGAATTCATCAAAGGAAAATTACCAAAGCATCCTTCAATACATCAATAATGGCCACTTTTTGTTTAAAAAAATATGCATATTGGGAGGATATTTTTGTCCAAAGTGAAAATAGAATAAGTATAAAACATTAAAGTCTTTTAAAATTTTAAATTGTTAATTCTTATTGTATGATTTGTAATACTTTTACGCCATTTTCAAATAATAGATGTCATTTCTTCTTTCTCAATTTATGTAGTACTAAAAAAAAATTGAGATTCAATCAATTTTTTTTGTCTTTGAAATATTTCTAGCTGTTAATTACTGTAATTTATAGTACTTTCTAAGAATTTTTCAAATAATATATATTATTTCATTTGTCCCAATTTATGTGTCACCGGTAAAATTTGAAGAGTCAATCAGATCTTTTATATATTTTTATATCTTTTAAATATTTAAGTAATTAATTATCGTGATTTATAATATTTTATACAATTATTTAGTATAGTAAAATAAATTTAAAAGAAACAAACAAAACGAATTCATCATAGGAAATTACCAAAGCATCCATCAATACATCAATAATGGGTCCCACTTTTTGTTTTTAAGAAATTGCACATTCGAAGGATATTTTTGTCCAAAATGGAAATATTATGTAAAAAATGTGTATTTATTGTGATTTTGAATGTTTTGTGAGGTAATATGGCGCACGCAAGGTTAAGGTGTCTTTTTGAAAATCTGGGACAACTTCAAGTATCACTTAATATGTTTTCTCAAAATCTAATTTACTTTCGTAAACTATGTGTCAGATCAAAATAAGATTAACAAATTCAAAAGGAATGAGTAATAAATAGCTCATACAATGACATATTTATTATTTAAAAGAAGTACTCATTTTGGTTGAAAGCTAATAAGATAGTTAGAATATAACTAAATACTATAAAAATCTTTGCATTGTAGCTTATTATATATAGAATATTCAAAATTTTAAAAATTTATTATAATCATTTATTTTGACGAGATGGACATTAGTCGTTGCAAAATAAATAAGTGATACTTGTAAAAAGAAAAAGAAGTCTAAGGGCCCGTTTGGCCATAGATTTCCCAAGTAAAATTTGGGAAAAAATTTGGCAAATATTGTTTGTCCATACACTTTCTCATTATTTGGCAAATTTTTTTGGCAAATAACCCAAATTCCCAAATACTAGTTTTTTCTAGTATTTGGGCCAAATCTCATTATTTGGAAAGTTTTAAAAATTCAAATTTAACACCAAACTTTTATCTTTTACAAAAACACTTTATTTATTAACACCAACCAACTCAATCAAATCTCCATCTGCTAACTAACTCAATTAATAAATTTTTCTATTATAAAGAGCATACATGTACAAGAGCTTTTATACCCAAAAAATTAGTTGAACAACCGTAGTAAAAGCTTTGTGGCAATCCTCTGTGGAGAAACAAATTTCCTTCTGTTTTCTTCTTCTTTTTCAAATTCATATTAGTTGTATTTTCATTATCATGATTTGTACTAGTCTTTTTTAACGATGCGACTATTTACTGTAATGATGCTTTTTGATTTGTTGCGGAAGTCATGAATCTTGTTACGCGACATTTCTATTTTGCTATGTAATACAAATTTATGGTTAGTTTTGATAGTTTTAAAAACTTATGGGCATAAGTCATATTTCTTAAAAAATTGAAATATATTTCCCAAATACTATGGCCAAACACATGGTGAAATTTCACCCAAATCTTCACCCAAATAATATTTGCCAAATATATTTGGAAATCTATGGCCAAACGCTAGCTAAATCATATATAATTAGAGAAAATGGCCAAAAACCCTCCCCCAACTTATAGCCGAATTTCCAACTACACACATATATTTCACGATGATTCGATTACCCCCTTGAACTATTTTAAAATGAAATTAATGTCACTCTATATGCTGAGGTGGCAAAGAAAGTGTATTCACTTTCTCAAAGAGAGTGAGAGACACTTTTTTTTATTAAAACTTTAACTTTGCAAGTAATTTCCCCTTTTCATATTAAGTTTCTAATTATTTTTTTTAAAATTATGTTATCTTTTACTTCTATTTATCTTTTCTTTTTAATATTTTTGTTGTCTTCTTTCTTTTTCTCCTCAACACTTCTCCGAAAAATGCCATAAACTTATTTCATTAATTAGCTATCACTAATCGTATCATTTTCCTCTCTCTTTTTTCAAAATAAATCGACTCTCCTTCTTTTAATCATAACTTCATTTTTTCATTCTCACATACTAAATTTATTGTTGCCATGTCGCTATTTTCACCTTTTTTTTTAGATCTATCATAGTACGTGTTGTTATTGAATTTTGAGTAATAATAAATTAAGAAATATTTAAAAGTGAGACGGATAGATTAATTTCTAAAACACTAAAAAATACTTTTCGTAGACAGTGACCATGACAACGAGATTAAAAATAGCAAAACCAATTTTTTATACTTCAAATCACAAATTCACTTTGAATTTGCCATCATATCCAACTCCAATATGCCACCCACTTTTCGAAAATTAATTGACCACACGAACTTATCAATGCTGTCATCTAATTCTTCGGTTGGCAAACTCAAATTTGATTCAAAGATATTATCATTATTACTTGAATGAAAATTCTAAAATTATGAAAAGAAAATAAAATAAAAAATAAAGAAAGAATATAAAGAAGAAGAAAGAAAGAAGAAGGTAATGTAAGAAGAAAGCAAGAAGAAGGTAATGTGCTTTTACGTTTCATATTAATGGAGAAAAAGTTTGGTGTCAAAGAAAAGTCAAAAGTGGATTAAAAACAAAAGAGAAAAAAGAGAAAGAAAAATATAAAATAAAAACAAAGAATAATAACTTTTTTACTAAAAAAATAATATTATATGATGTGGCAGGCGAGTGTATCTCACTACTTAACATAAATTTGGGTATGATTTTT